CTTCCCTGCCTGGTCCCCGAGTATGAAGAATGGAAGGAAGGAAGGCAGAGTCAGCACAGGGTGACCTAACTACTCAGGAGGAGGGTGCCTTGCCCCTCCTCATGAGTTTGACCTGAAGAGTAACATTTAAGGAGACACCATGAGGAGGGGCTTTTGCCAGGAACAAGTGTTTCTTTTCAGATTACACTCCCTTGGCTTTGCCTGCTTTTGCCTTGTTTTAAGAACTGCTTTTGCCTGCATCAAAGACTGCTTTTTGCTTTGCTTCAAGAACTGCTTTTGCTCTGTGAGTCAAAGACTGTTTTTGCCTTGCTGAGAGGACTGTTCTTGGCTTGCCCTAGCCCTGAAGGGGCTGCCTTGCCTTGGACCCTGTCTTGTTTTGAGAAGTGCTTTTTGCCTTTTGGTTTGAACTGTGCCCTTGTTTGTGAATTGCATTTGTCTTTTGTTTCACTGTGCCCCTTTTGGAAAACTGCTCCTTGCCTTGGACCTTTGCCTGGCTCTGAGAACTTCCCTGGCTTTCTGCCAAGACTTTTGCCTTGTGGACTTGCCAGGTAATTAAGGGCTGTTGTTTGGGGGACTGGGGTTGGAGCCTGACTGGTCAGTGGAGGGTCATTTCTTAACTCTTTCCAGGAGCAATAAAGAACTCTCTGGAGGCCTACCTCGTCTTACCTATCTGAGTCATAACAGAAGCCTTTATCACCTCCCAATTGGATTATTGCAACATAATTTATATGTGCCGGTTATCACTTTTAAACTCTATATGCCATGGGTTTCTGCAATTATGCTCTGAGTGTCTTTAGTAAAACAGTGTTGCCTGGTGGAACCCCAGCAGCAAATATTCTCTGTCATGGTGTCTGCTTATGGAATAGCCTCCTCCAGGAGATACTGATGGCCTTGACCCTTCAGAAAACCACTGAAGGCCTGGCATGGATCTGGGGTATTAATGGAGCCAGCATGGTACTATTGCAGGATGCAAGTCTTATTTGAGGGTCAATGTTTTTAGTATCGCCTGTTCACCGCCCTGAGTCCCGCAAGGGAGATAGGGCGGTATATAAATTTAATAAATAAATAAATAAATAAATAAATGTTATTTTAAATGCTTTTTTATATTGTGGTTTTAATTTTTGTTCACTATCCAGAGTTCTTTCTGGTAAATGGCTGGCTATATGACATACATACATACATACATACATACATACATACATACATACATACATACATATCTTCCCTTAACCTTGAATGAGTTGATCACTAGTCTCCCTTTTCCACAAACCTGATTGAATTGCAGCATAAAATTGAGATGTGATTTTTATCCATAGTGGGCCTGCTCACAGTGTTAACAATTTAATTTTACTACTCAAGTAATGGAAAGAGGAAATAATCAGAGGGCTTTTGATGGTACACTAAACATAGACTTGTCAATAAAAAATGTTTTACCTGAATCAAATAGTGATATTTTTGTTAACCTCTTTAACTTTTTGGTTTTTTAATTTTATCTTTTAAATTTTCTTGAATTCAAATCTAAAATAAATACATTAATAAATATAATTCATTTAAATGTTTTAATTTAGTTTTTGTTAACTTTGTTCTGCCACCATATTTTAAAAGAGCTCCATATTTTAAAAATGAATTAACATAAAGCTAGGACAGAAGGAATACAAGGACGAATTATGAAAAGAGATCAAGGCAGTTAATATCTATCCCTAAAGCTCTTCAACAATTCTGGATCAAAACACTGCATTAAAATATTTAGGTTGTACCATTCTTCATAATTTTGTGTCAAATCAGACATTTTAGCTATTAGCACTAAATAAATACTTACATTCTCCTTTCCACTTGCTTGGATCCAACATCAGCCTGCATTTTGTTTCTTCCAACTCCTCTTTCAATAACTCATGCTTTGCTTTCATTTCCCTAATCCTTTGGTGGCGTCTCTCTAGGATTTTCAGTTTCGTATTAAAATATATCAAGCCCTTTAGGGGACAAAAATTATTCATCTGTAACTCGTTGTTGGTCATCTGCTTGCTTTTCCCAATTTCCCAGAAGTCTACAGTCCACACCATTCAATTTCAACTACCGATATGCAGCCTCAACAAGCAATATTAAACATTAGCTGAGGTTTCTCCCACCCTATCTTGGCTGAAAGTGAACTTTCATGGATGCTAATTTAATAAAGGCAACCTTCTACAAGTACTTAGGGCATTTATTCCCATTCTGAGTTAATGTGCTCCTTTACAATACTCATAAATTACAACCATATGTACAGAAATTATTTTCCCCCCTGTAAAATGAGGAAATATAATTCCATTAGAAAAAAATAAAATTTCAAAATCTCAACTCTATATGCAGGTGGGATGCTTAATCATTCCCCATCTGGTTTACTCCATAACCCATGCTCCAGTTGTCTTATTTCATTTTCATCATAGTTTGAAAGTGGATTGGTAAAGGGCTTGCAGAGTAAAAGTAGAGGAGAGAAAACAAAGTCTCCACTCCTATTTTATTTGTCTGATGTTTAAGCTCTCAGGACAACGAAAATAAACTATATGTAAAGCTAAAATAATGGTGCTAATAAAATTCAAATATATTCAAAATTTTAAAAAGCAGCAAAACACAATTTACAATAATGGATACTAAAACAACAGAAACAATGTATAATAAAAGATTTAAGATTAATTGTGGAGTTATCAATTAACATAAAAATGCATTCATGTAGCCTTTGGGTGAGAAGTTATTTTACAAACTCCCCAACTCACTTAGGATTCCTTCCATTGGCCTGAGGGTTCTGCATTGAAACCATCCCCAATTGTGTGTACAATACAACTAATTGGAAATTTTATGTTTACCACAGAATAACTAGCTCTGAAGAGATAAGTAAGATGGAAATACATGACTTACCTTTTCAACATCCTGGAAAGGCTGTTGTAAATGAAATAAAAAGCAGTTATTTTAAACAGGTAGCAGACTAATGATTGTAATTCCTGTTACCTATCAGAATTAACTGGATTGTTTTGCCAATTACAAATAAATTAAACTCACAGCATCTTGAACTTAACAGAATACTAAATGATGTGTTGTGCCATTTACATAAAGAGTTAATGACCCTTTAGTGAAAGGAGACCCATAAAGTTTCATCAGGAAGGCAATTATTATAAAGCCTACTCATAATGTATTAATTGATATTCTCCACTCATTCCATCAACAACATTAAACACAATTAATGGTAGACCAAATTATTTTCAATGGGCAAGATTGAAAATAATAATATTTAAATATGAACTATTTAAAAATGGCTTATGATGTTGATTTAATTACTAACTGTTCTTCCACTTGTGTGCTAGGTTTTAAGCAATAATTGTGAAATTTATATTGTCCACTTTGTTGTAAAATGTATCCTGACCTCACTTTCCTCTTGTCGATGTCGCTGTAATCGTTCCACATCATCAATCTCATAAACTTTTATTTCAAATGACTCTTTCAAAGTCCCCGGTAAAGGGGGAAGATCAACCCACTGGCCAGCAACATTCTGTTTTCTGCTCAGAGATGTAGAATCAGGCAGAGGAGCTGGAATCAGTCGACGGCGCTGGAAACCTAAAAAAAAAAAAGGTGTCTTCATATCTCTGTCTCCTAAAAAATCCATCAACATTCTAAGCCAGACAATACTTATAATACTTATATGTAGCTACAGACATTTTGCTATAATAATAATTACATTGTGTGTCTAGTGAAATTCTGTCACAGGGCAGTATAATCAAGAAGCATAATTGTAGCTGAGACTAAACAGTTCTCACTGGAATTTTATGCCTATGAATATCAGTTGACCCAAACACTTTTCTTTTCTCTCCTTAATTTTGTGATGCCTTAACATACAAAGTTCTATGAGTTTCCATATCAAAATGATTGACAATCTAAGTAAACCAATAGGATTGTGACATCATAATAAGCTAAATGATGTGGTTGTAAAGCAAAAAAGTCAGCCATAAAGCAAAAAATCATGTGACCAAACTGACTTACAACTGCAGTCCTGATTGCCATTATTAAAGGACTATTCAGGTTGTTAAGCAAAGATCTCACCCAACCATGATTTCCAATTTCCAACTGGTTTCCCCATTGTGTTTGCTTGTGGGAAGCTGGCAGGGAAGGTAAGCAATCATGATCATATGACTGCAAGGAAACTGCAATAGCCAATACTCTGAGACTCTATCTAGACCACTACATTCAACCTTTAACTGAATGGTCATAAATCAAGGTCTATGTATAGTCCATATGGCTCACAAAACAACAAATCCAAACACTAATATTCAACTGTACTAGGTTCTGGCCTCACTCTACTCCAGCACTTTTTGGAAGAGCCAGATCTTCAAGACCTTTGAAAAAGCTAACAGAATGAGGGCTTGCCAGATCTCAATGGGAAGAGTTCCACAGGGTCAGAGCTGCTACAGAAAAGATGTGCTTTCTAGGTGCTATTTAAGGCAAGAGACCTAGAGCATATACACATCCTATTAAGACTGGTGAAAGTGACAGATATACTCCAGAAGAGGCAGTGCCACAAATAACCTGGCTCAATGCCATCCAGAGTTTTAAATGTGATAACAAGCACCTTGAATTGCAGAAAAAAACTGAAAGCCATTACAGATCGTGCAGCTGTGATAAAATATGGGCAAACCATAGAATGCCCACAATTGCATATACTGCTATATTCTGGGCCTCTTAAAATTCCTGGATGGTCCCCAAGAGCAGGCCAATATAGAGGACATTGCAGTAACCCAACCGGGAAGTACCAGAGCATGAGTGACTGAGCAAGGCCTCCTGGTCCAGGAAAGAGCACACAAGACAAATATGCATGAAGGCCTCCATGGCCATGGCTGTTACTTGCTCCTTCAGCAGGAACTGTGAGCTTAGGAGAACCCAAAGTTCCATGCAAGCTCCATTTGGGAGAGTGCCTCCCTGGCCAGAGTCAAAGATGACATCTCACCAGAACCAGGAGACTAAAAATTCAGAGCCACTCCATCTTGCTACGGTTGAGTCAGAGTTATCTCCTCCCCATCTGAATCCTTGCAGCCTCCAGGCCAACACCAGGACAGCACTGCTTGGTTGGCCAGAGGTAGAGATGTCTAGATGGATATGTTGATGATACCACAACTCATGCCACTAGATGACCTCTGCCAGAGCCCTCATGTAGATATAGCAAAAGAAGGCAAGAGATTGAAAACCTGACGCTCCCCATATTGCAGGGTGCTGGAACTCAATCTCTCCCTGCCACCAACACCAATTAAAAGAAGCCACAAAGGAAGGGGAATGACCACTATAAATAGCCCACTTCCAGAGCTAGTCCAGAAGACAACCAGAAGGTTAGTGTGTTAAACAGATCTAGTAGGGCTAGGATAGATGCATCACCCCCCCAACCCAAGGCCTCATCCATAAGCATGACCAATGCTGTCTCAAAGCTAAGCCTTGAGTGAAAATGAGCCAAATGCATTTAATTAAGGGCCATCTGAAGCTGAGCACCTACAATTCATAAACAACCTCCCCTAAAAAGAAAAGTTAGAGACTGTACAGTTAGGTCCAAGGATGACTCTTAAGAAGGGGATATACCATTGCCTCCCTCAAGGCAGGTGGCACCACTCCACCCACAATGAATTATTAATCACCACTTTGAGCCAACCACATGCCATATCTGACATGGCTTATCCAACTTGGAGGGACACAGATCTAGAACACATCTGCCAGAATTTACAGCCCTGTCCACTTTCTTGGGAGTGATCAGCTTAAACTCATCTGAACAACAAGCTAAGCTTCTTGGGCAAATTGAGAAATTGGATGAATTCAGTAATCAAGTTAAGTTCATTGCATAAACACAATTTTGAGTCTTTATAACACTCTTTAGTATTCTTTAGTGATCACTCATTGGTGACCGTTCAAAGTTTTGACTTCTCTGAACAAGATGATGTACAGCCAATTTTCAAATTTCAGCATCCCCATGGTCACATGATTGCAGTTCAGGCATTACTTGGCATCAGCATGCAATTATGACTGTCACAGGGTCCTATGGTCACGTGATTGCCATTTGCAACCTTCACTGTTGCCTTCTGATAAGCAAAGCAACTGAGAAGTCAGCAGGAAGTCACAAGATGCAGTCACATGACAACATGCTTAACAACTGTGCACAGGTCACTGAACAATTGAAGCCAGAACTGCTGTCATAAATCAGCAGAGTCATGATTTTTTGCTTTATGACCATTTATCCAATGATTTATCCTAAGGCTATGCTAACTTCAAATAAATATACATATTTACTGTATATACAATTGTACTAATTTACCTGGAATTAGGCCCAACTGAATTCAGACTTACTTTTCAATAGGAATATACAATTAGTTTTCTTTCTTCCAAAATCTAGAACATTTGACTAAATTGGGAGTGGCAAAGCACTAAACACTCCAAAAGGTAAACTGTAATTTATCAGCAGAGGACTATTCCAATTGAGAAAAGAACTGTTTGTCATTTTAAAAAGAAATGCCTTATAAAGCATTTCCTGGGGCAAAACCAAATACAAATCCATCAGCCATAATACCTTCTCAATATGTGGGCAACTTTACACAGCTGTTAATATTGATTTGCAGACTTGGGAGACTTGGGAAGCTGATGTGCTATGAAAAGAGAACAGCAGCTGCAAAGGCTGAAATGGACCTATTTAAAGCAATAGGTCACACAGTAAAATAAACTGGTTACAACTAGGAAGTACAACCTAATCACATATTTGTACTGTATGTGCATGCATCCTAGACCTGCGAGGAAATGGTACACAAATATCATCTATGGCTTTTAAATTGGGACTGCATCCCTAATAGATAAGTAGTCACAGCAATGCATTTTAACATTCTCCTACCATGGATGGTAGATTTCAAACTTACATTTAAAAAGTGGTATTTTCCCTCTGACATTTGTGACAATAGTTTAACAATATTCACAGGGTTCTTTGTTTGATATAGTTATTTCTTCCAGGATTAATGCAACATCCTTTAGGGTAAAGAGATGTCACATTGGCAAATGGATATTCCATGCCATCTTGATGGAGAATTCTATGCAGTGCTAAGCCTGAGACTTCAGTAGGTTGGGAAAATTTTAAAAGGTCTAGCTGCTGAAGAAAAGTCTAGCTGCTGAACAAAACAAAACCTCTGGGAAATCCACTCTTACCTAGGTCTTGCCTAAAGAAGGGAAGCTAAGCTACTCTATGGACACTGTGGACCAGCAACTATGGACTAAATTATCCCCAGTAGTTAGTACTGTCAGCTGTTTCACTCCTTTCCTCCTAGCACTTTCTTTTCTCAAGTGTTTTTTTTCTCCAGTGTGGCATAAGCACCATCAAACTAGAAAAATCCATTTTTCAAAAGTTGAACATAATAGTAAACTCTTCAGTGAAAAGAAGTTTTTCTTTGTTATGCTGTTGAATCTCCAATTTATTTCTAATTTCAGTTGATCCTTAGGTTTGTAGATTATTAGTTCCATTAATCCAGGGGTGTCAAACTGCCAGCCCGCGGGCTGGTTTCATCATACCGAAGCCGCGCCCACCGCATTGCCGGCAATGCAAAAAGAGTTGTGATATGTTGTGACACGTCATGTGATGTGGCGAGTTTGACACCCGTGCATTAATCAGACATTTTAGTGCACTATTTCCAAATTCCTATATTTTCATTTGGGGACCTACCAATCAAAGATTTGTATGAATATCTGCTAGAATTATACAACACCACTTTCAAATGAACATATCTTTTCAAAACCTGGGTGAGACTCTTTTTGCCAACTGCTATCATGGGGTAACCCATGATAGCAGTTGGCTCAGTTGAGCTAAATATAGATTGGAAACAAAGTCACCCATGCCACATTCAACACATCCATTCACAATCCTTTTTATTTCCATACATCAACATGCCTTTATTCATACCCATCACCGCCCAAGCATTGTGTCTGTGTGTGTATAAACACATACAAAGACACACACATCTGTCCATCCTGCTTCATACTCTGTTCATTTGCAGCTATTCAGAGGATCTAACATCAGGTAACAGAATATTTATGGACAAGATGGGAGCTGCTATAACAGTGGACAATATCTATTTTAAACTAACTGCCTGCTCTTTTTCATGGATGCTTCCCCAAAAGTGTTAGAATAAAGAATTACATGGGATAGGCTGAGAAATTGGATTTTTTTAAATCTCTTCTTCAAGAAAACATAAGCTGCCCTTGAAAACGTCAACCTCTCCCATGTAATTTGTATGAAACAGAATAAAATCTGCTAGCATCCCCATGGAGCAGCAGTCACACCTGTCCCATAATAAAGCAACTGGTTCCACATAGCCATTACTAGTTAACATGTATTTAGGGAGTTCAGTGCCAGAATTTATTAATCAAAAATGTAGTATTGAGGAGCTGCCTCTTTCATTAAGCCATGAAGATTGATCATTTGCCTCTTAGGCTAAAGCTCAGGTGCTACTTACAAATTAAAAATCTGTCAGGTCTGAACATGCTTTCAGTTTCAAGGACTACTATGATGGCATTTTCTCAGATACCTTACTTGCTAATAGGTAAGCTTAAGGCTTTGACAGATCTGCTACAGACACAAATCAATAGAAATTCTTATACCAATTTTTTTGTAGTTATTGTGTTTTTACCTGCTGATCTTTTCTTTGGGGATTTCAAACTTCTCATGCGACTTGGTGAAGACATCCCACTTTCGCTCATAGAATCATGTGCTGAAGAAGCACTGCCAGTGGCTTCGCTGTCACGGATCATGCTTTCATAGCCACTGCTGCCACCACTATGATAAAAAAGAGCTGTCCTACCCATTGCAGGTGGTAGTTCCCCACTCAAGACACTGCTGTTATCACTCCCATGTCCACTGCTGTAGCGCTGAGGTCTTCTTGGCGCAGTTATCTTACTGTATGGAGATGGAAGCACCTGGATCTGTGACTTCTCATCACTTAGATTAATTCCACTGTCATTGCCACTATCAGAATCTGTAGAACCCCGGAAATGGCTCGTCTTGCCTGAGCTTCCTGACGCTAGCTCATTAACACGGCTATTGGCTGCCCTAATGGCCTGCTTAGTTCCCATAATTGTTCCTCGGCCAGGTTTATTGTTTGTACCTTGTGAAGACTTTGGAGTTGTTTTCCCACTCAAAGGAATGCTAGAGTTCTTCCCAGAGGACTGAGCCAATGACTTCACAGAGGAGCTCAGCGATTTAGATCCACTGGCTGAAAGGCTACGACTCTTATTCCCACTAACCACAGTTTTCTGGCTGGTAGCACTTTTCATCTGACTATTTTTGCAAGATACAGACATGGCACACAATGGAGGAGCGGTCAGGCCAGAAGTATCAGGAGGAACTCCCAGTCTTGGGACTAGTCGGCCATTTCTGCCATTGCTAAGGCTGCCACCACCATTTTCCTTATTCAGACTAGTTTTTGCTCCCACAGATATCAAGCTATCACATCTTTCAAGGGATGTGTGGCTCCCATAACGATGGACAGCTTCACTTTTTGATGCCTTGGCCTTTAAACTTGAAGTTGCTTTTGGCAAGGAATGGTCTCCTCTGAGGTTATATTTGTTACTGGCACTTTCAGCAGTACATAACCCAGTTCTTAGTCGTGAATCAATCTCATCCTCATGTTTTACTGCAGCAGCCCTATTAGCTTCTAATCCTACATCTTTGGCCCCTCCATTTTTTTGCTCAAGGCTGGACTTACGAACAGGAGGTGCTGGAGGTATTATGCCATTTGGCCTGGGTAACATACTCATCTTTTGCTGTGTATTCTTCTTTTTCAGGCTCCCAATGGCAAAAGCAGCTTCAGAATTCCCTCTGTGCATACTTTCTGTAAAAGCACCACTGCTATGTGACACAGGAACTACTCCCAATGTGGTGGCACCTCTTTTAAGCTGTGGAATTTTAGGGAAAGCTTCAGATTTTTTAGCAACTCCACTAGAAGACTTGCAGCTCATTTCACAACCATCTACCACCCTTTGTGAACAGGCAAGTAATGTCTGGGATTTTAAAGCCTTAGTTGTGTTACCAAATTGTTGGGTAGATCTTGGTGACTGTTTATGAGTACTAAATGCCTGAGAATTTGATGGTAACAGATCTGTGGTATTGGCTTCCAGATGATCATCTGTGCGAATCAACCAGGGATCTTCAAACATCACATGTGGCTTTTGCAATTCTTTATCACAGAGAGTATTATTATGAGTCAGAGATGAGGTAGCTTTTGTTCTTCGGGGAAGACTGGAGTGTATAGTTTCAATCACTGGAGTGTTTTGAGAATTAGAAAGCTTAACTTTTGTGGTCTGATCAGTGATGCAAAGAGTACTTCCAATCTGACACACTTTGGTTAAGTCATAGTTTTGAAGGCTTCTGTTGACTCCTGAGGCTGTTTTGCTTGAATTCATGCTCTCACTCTCCAATTCTGAAAAGTAAAAGCCACTATCATTCAAGGTAGTTTTCAAGGGAACAGAGATATTAGGAGAACCCAAAGTTAAAGGTTCGTCGGACTTGTTACAGCCATAAGAGGGTTGCATAAGAAAACCATCACTGGAATGGACTCCATCACTTCCAATTGTACAGATACTGACTTCACTTAGCCATGAGCTGATCGAAGAACATCTGCTGCTACTAGTGAAGGGTTCTTCAGAAAAGGGTACAACAATATCAATGTTGACACCTGTTGTACTCGCCTGAGAGGTATAAGCATCAAACTCATCATTTATACTGCTGATGATACTAACTGGCCTAGAACCAGAGGCAAGAGCCTGAAGAGAACAGTCACTATTAAAGCTGATGATGCTAGAAGGTCTTCCATTGTCCACAATACCACTGATAGATAATTCCTCAACCACTGTAAAGACAAGTTCATCTTCACCATTGAGTTCCACAGGCTTCTGCAAAGTCACTGTTGTTGTCAGTATATCCCTGTCAAAGCACGCGCCTCGGAAAGATGATCGAAATCTATGTACTTCAATACCATCTGCCTGCTGTTCCGTGTCATTAGTTAGGGTGTTATGTTCAGTTTCACTAGTCACTTGTTTACTCATTCCTACAGGTGGGGTCCTGATGGAATTGTTGTGATCCACATTTAGATATGCTTGTTTGCTTGTCACTAGATATTCCTGCTGCTGAGGTGGTGGAGGAGCAGGGCTGGGCAATGGTTTCCTCATATATGAAGTTTTTTCTTTCACAACCATTTCATCATCAGCTTGACTTGATTCATGAGTCTTAAGAGAATTATTTGTTGATAATTGACAGGAATCAGCCACTACTTCATTATCCCCATTGAAATCTACTCTCTTGCTTTCAGGTTTTGACTGCAATTTGGCATGTTCTGTTTTTAAAGGAGATACCTTCTTTTCAGGGCAAGTGACGTTGTGCTGGAAATAAATGTTATGTCCCTTTTTTGGAGTTCCTATTTCTTGTGAAAATGTTTTCTTAAAGCCTCCAAGAGGAGAAGATGGTTTGGATTTAGACTGCCCATTTTCTGTAGACATGGGTACTGTACTATTGGAAGCTACAGCAGTAATCTCTCCACCAGGAAACTTGACAGGTTCTTCACTTCCATCGATACATTCCAATCTTTCCTGCAATTCTGCAAAGGTGTTACACTTAAAGTGATCTTTGTCAGAGCTTTTTGGAAGACCACAATTGTCTTTGCTTCTTTTTTTGTTCAAAGAAGGGATTATGGGAACAAACTCTGGAGGGCCTTCATTATCTGTCAGCTCTCTGTCTGACAAAGCAGTACCATTGGAACCTACATAGATAACAGTGTCACAGGACTGCTCACTGCTTGAGGAATAATCATGTTCACTAGAAAGATTCAATACAGGAATGTCAGGATCAAGAGCTATAGTCCTTGGATGAAATGGTCTTAGATGAGGAGGTCTTCGTACATGGCCTTCTTCACATGAACTTTCTCCTCCAGATGAGCTGGATGCATACTGCTGATTGTAAAAACATAACACAGAAGGATTTTTAATATTAAATGTATTCACAAGAGGACAAATTAGGAGTCACTTTTTTCATTTCTTACAGAATAATGTTTGGTATCTATTGGAATCATTCCAATAAAAGGCACTTATGATACATTTTTAATGATAACTTGCAGTTTTCAAAAGGCAAAAAAGAATGATGTGGCAATTAAGTGGCACAATCACCATGAAGGAACGTTGATTGAATGGCCAAGTATACAGTATTTTGCATTGGGTGATAGGTTTTCATACAGCATGTTTGCTTTAATGCTTACAGAATCTTGGTTTGAGCCCACATTTCACAATATGACTGTGTTGTCATATGATCAGTGATATCTGAAGCCTAATTACATCTGGTCGATATGCAATTCATTCCAGCAATGAGACACTATGAATAGGTTCAGACTACAGGAAGGCCTCATTTACCAATCACAACTGGAACCAGGATCACTAAGCAATGCAGTCATAAAGTGAAATGTCATGTGACTTATGATATTGACTTTGGTAAATACTTCAGGCAAATATTATCTCTAATACATCCCGAGGTCAAAAGCTAGCAAGACAAATTAACAGTAAAGGAATACTACAATATTGCGATGAAAGTTAACAAAATTCTTTCCAAATTGTAAAATATTTATTTGTCTGTGCATACCAACCTTGGATTTCTTCTTCCTCATTCTGTGGATACGAGAGGCAAGTTGAAGTGTCATAAGACTTTCTGCATAACTTCCCAGGGAATCTGATATGTGGGCTAGCATGGTTGTTCTGCAGTTGATATTCCCAAGTGATTCTCTTAGCAGCATAGTCAGTTTGTTATCCCTATGAAGCATGCAGAAGTAAACAGTGGTTTGAAATACTTCCATTTCTTGCTATTATTTTTCCAAGCAGTCTATTTCTCAGTGATCACAACAAATTAATGAGTAAAAAAAAAATATCTCAGGTTCAAATGAAAATTTGTGATTTTTCAAAAAAAAAAAGGAACAGGCAATCTAATCCTAATTCTACAAAACAAAAACCAGCTTGAGTTTTATTTTAGACTATTATCATTGCACTAAGAAGAAAGGAGAATTCTGCTCATTAGCCTTCTGATTTTTTTTCAAAGTAATCAATTTTTTCCCCTAATCAAATAACTGACAAAAACAGTTACATGTCTCAGGTGAATCATTTTGAGGTGTTCACATGAGAAAAAGGAAATAAAAATTGTAATGCATCATTTCCCAGTCATTATATGACATAGCTACAAGTTAAATGCTAAGACTCTGAAAGACATGACTCTATTACACACAGAGCAATTCACTTACTTGTATGGCACATGCTTGGCACCATTAATTAAGGCCAGAATAACACTGCCCAATGCAGACAGAGAGAGGGAGAAGGAACTTCCTCCATCTCGACTTTTGCTTAGCACTTTTTCACAGCTTCCCAGGTCAATGAGATGTAAACGACTGCGTCCACCTGACACTGAAAAGCCATAGGAACACAGATATATACTAATTCAAGTCTGTTAGGATAATCAAAAATAAAATGGAAGGAAATAAAATTCTGATGGAAATAGAAGATAAGTACTATTGCCTATTAAATGACTGCATGATGGACAAAATCAAGCAAACCAATAATAATGTTCAATAATTTACTAAGAATCCTTTGAAACTCTTATTAATTTGTGAACTAATAGTTGCTTAGTTCTGGCCATGTTTTAGAATCAAAAAGATGTGAACAAAATATTCTGTATATGTCTATATTTAAACAAGTGAACATATATACTGTATGATTGACAGTAGGAGTTTTAAAACCAAACCAATGAAATCAATACATTAGGAAAGCATTTCTTGAATTCAAATGTTATTTTTAACTGTGCAGATCTCATCACTGAACTTAATATTTTAACATTTCCATTTACAGGCAAGAAGCAATAATCAACTTCAGATGACATAGCAATAACAAACCTTGCTATGGACATTGATAAAACTGGGTAACATTTCCTAAAAATTCAGGTCAGGGAGAAGTAACTACAGGCAATATTTGACTTACAACTGTTTAGTTACCATTCCAAGTTATGGGATCATGGGATCAAAATTTGGGCACTTGGCAATTGGCATCTACTTCTGACAGCTGCACTGTCCTGGGGTCATGTAACCATCATTTGTAACTTTCCCAGCCGGCTTCCAAAAAGCAAAGTTAATGGGAGAAGCTGGATTCACTTAACCACATAACCACTGTGTGATTCACTTAACAACTGCAGTGACTTAACAACTGTGGCAAAAAGGTCATCAAATGGGGCAAAAGTCATTAACAACTGCGTTGCTTAGCAACAGAAATGTTGGGCTCAATTGCGATCGTAAGACAAGGACTACCTGTATCTGTTAGTTTCCCACAGCTATCAACATCTAGCAAACATCTCGTGCAGAAATATCTCTCCACTTGTGTAAGAGGCACACGTTTCTAGTTATATTTTAAATCCCAATGGGTTAGCAGCTGGACTTTTTAATAGACACGAAGATATGCATATTCCAATTCACACAGCTTTCTATCTAGTTGTCCACTGACATGGCACAGTAGCTGCGATGGCAGTTAAAATGGTAACAACAGAACCAGAAAGAGAGTGATTTCAACTCCCTACTCAGACATGAAGCTTCTTAAGGAAATTTACACTATTTATTAGCTTTATTTTATTAGGCCATTTATTAGACTATTTATGAGCCTAAACTACTGCAAAAAACTTTTGAAAACAGGATTGGGAAGGGGAGCCTACATGTGGACCTGATCTTTTGGAGCAAAAGGTAAAATACTGCATACTAGGTTTTCAAATTAGATATTCCAAAAAGCAGTCCAATTGAAAGCTTTCTTGGCTAATACAATCAGCTTCAGTGTTGACTTTAGTTTTTGATAAAAATCAATTGCACTTCTTTTGAAAAATCAATGCAAGAAGAAAGAGATTTTGAGCCAAATCGACATACTTCCTCCTTTGCCACTCTTCTCCATACGGTATTGATATATGTGAAGTGTAAAAAACATGTGCGAATTCCTCCGATCTTCTTCATCACATTCTGGTTTGCTAGTACTCCTGGCAGCCAGCGCTGCATCGAGGAAAAAAGCTGCTTTCTCTGCTGTTGGAGCCCTCAATTCGCTTTGATTCTGAAGCTGGAATATAAACAAGAAAATGACTAATTAAGAGGGAGAGAATGATCCCTGCTTCCTGAACAGGGGAAGACTCAAGGGTGCTAAAAGAAACAAATATGTACGCTGTGGGACTGGAGATTAAAAATGAAAAAGACAATTAAAATATATATTTTAAAACTGACGGATGAAAGCATTTCAGGGGAAAAAAAAGAAAAGAAATGTCAGGAAAAAAGAAAAGGGCACACTTCCCACCTGTCCTGAGATTTTATACCTGTGTTCCACATATCGGATCCTCACGTAGGTAGACCCCTGGGGACTGTCCATCTTGAAGACTGCCGGTGGCTACTTCGGCTAACAAATCCTTAAGGTTTTCATCTTTGCCGCTAATCTCCACAGCAGATACTCGAATTGAGAAACGAGTCCCAGTCTTCTCTTTGCGCTCATTGATTAACTTGAAGAGCCAAGAGATAGCACAAGGTACGATGCCAAGGCTCTGTGTGGAGTTATCTTTTCCAAACATTGTGTAGGATTTGCCTAAAATGGAAAGCAAATGGAAATGTAATTGGCCCACTAAGCACATTACTTTAGTTGTGGTGTCAGAGTTTTCTTATTCGGTAGAAAGAAGCTTCTCCTGTTCTCTTATTCTGGCAAGAATCTGTTTTGCTATTTATGTTTTGAGAGAATTCACATGCACCAAGATCAACAAGTGGATGATTTATGCGTAATTAATAAACAAGTGAACTTCTGGAACAGCTGACTTGCTGGTGAAAGGAGGAGAAAGGAAGAAGCAATAGTGTTTGTGAAAGGAATGAAGCCACCCATCCCCACCCTCCCCCACTGTTTATCTTCCCAATGCAGAGAATGGGTCTTGTCTTTCCTCGGACTACAAAAAGAAATGGAGGAAAGAAAAAAGCTGCCTCATCTTCTCTCATTTTCCAACAAGTCTGTTCAGGTGGTCAATTGTCTGGCTGTCCTTAATGCAGCCACCTTCCTCCTAAATATTCCGCTAAAGAATCGTTCACATTTCCTGATATTTCAAGGAAAAGCAAATTAATTCTTCACTCAAAAATCTTGGGGGGAGGGGGTATTATATTTTTTAAGAGGTCCTAGTTAGTGGCAATAGTTGTCATCTTAGGCTGATGAAAGCAAATGATCTAATTCTGGGGTCTTTTGGTGAATCCAAAGCTCTCTGCCCTTCATTTGAGACCTATAATCAGTGAGAATAATTAGAAGTAGCTCTCATAGAATCACAGAATGTAAGGACTGGAAAACAACTGGAGATCTTCTAATCCAAGACCCTGACCAGTTCAGGAATCCACTAGTATAGCATCTCCAACTGGTCTTTTCTTCTCCTGATTAAATACATTCAAATCCTCAAATAATTCCTAGTTAATTTTTCTTCACCTCTTCCCATTGGTTCTTCTCCTCTGGACACAAGTTTGTCAAGGTCTTACCTAAAATCTAACATCGAGAACTGATGGACATTTAGAATATTCATGTGATTAACCAATGTAAAATAAATAAGACTTATCTTGATCCTTGAATTACACTTCTATGAAGGCAGCATTGCATTTAAATGGCATTTGATTTCTGCCACTCAAGTGCTTTGAATTTATATTGGAGCCTCATGATGGATATTCCTCCCCACATTGGCAGAGTATTTTTTTTACCACTTCTTCCCTATTCTAGTTCACCTCCAAAAAAGCTAGGATTTTGTATCTTAAGACATGTAGAAACATTTATTAAATTCCGAAGTTGAATTTTCTATATATGGAAATTCTAGCAATCTCGAAGGTGATTTTCTAACTGAGGAATAAAAGTAGGCTATAAGTAGATAACATCTGGTTTACAGAAACAGAATACTCTCTTTATACAAGTCTTCAGATTATAACCAATGGCACACACCTTAATTGACAATGGGAGAGAACAGGTGCAAAAAGTAGCTTTTACATATTTCATTATTAATCCATCGGTACTTAATTAATTCTTCCATTCTTTGTAACTTTGTAACCAATTAATTTCTGCAAGTTTTTTGCTCTGTTTGAATTGTGTTACACCTGTCCCTGAAAAAATCTGTTTCTAAAGAACCTGATAGATGCACATAAGCTACTTTTTATCTTTTATTCAATTGGGTTTTTTTAAAAGAAAGAAAGAAAGAAAGAAAGAAAGAAAGAAAGAAAGAAAGAAAGAAAGAAAGAAAGAAAGAAAGAAAGAAAGAAAGATTGCACAGAACTTAAAGTCCCAGTATAGAAATAAAGCAGGAGAAGTTTGCATAACTAATTAAAAAGAAATTCTAATCTATTCATGTAGTCCAGGTTTATTGTTCCAAGAGCTGACAGCATGTAATTGCCAGTTGACATAGTAATTAACTGTAATGAATTTGGGAGCTCACCAAGCTTGACATGGCCAAAGCAAAAGATGCAACCATCTGCACCATTCACGACAGACTGGATTACTTCTGCTACTGTTCCAGAGCACACCTCAGCCTAGTGAAGAAGTTGGAAGTCAGTTAATAAGCATGGACTTGCATTGTGTTGTTATTTTTACATGACAATGGTTCTTAAAGCAATATAGTTGCACATTTCATAGCACTAGTCACACTATTCTAGTGTCTATATTCCACTTTTTTCCAGTTAAACCTATTACATAAGCCACAAATGATTTCCTATTCCTCTAAAGAGGGTGCTATGGCATATCAATTCCATAAATTCAATGGCAAAGGAAATGCTCACCAAGAAACATAGAATTAATGTAATGTCTCATCATCCATCTTTTTTTTTAAATACTAGCAGATCATGCACTGCCAAGGAAGCTTAGGAGAAGCAAGCAAACTCGAGCAACCCAAATGAAATTTTTTGGAAGTTTTCTGTTTTAATCTTAATGATGACAACCACATCTCTTGGCACACACACAGAGACACAAAGGGCATGCTTTTAAGTCTCATCTGTGTGCTGGGGAAAGAAACGAAGAGGAATGTTATTCAATGGGGAGAAAACAAGATTTCCTTTTTCCCAAATGTAATGGAAGCACAGGAAATAGAAGTCTAAATTACATACACATGTTCTGTTACTACTTTTGAGTTTCAGATGCATGTGTCATCTCCTGACAGCTTTATGTTTTCTTTACCGGCCAGAGAACAATTCAGGACAGCAACCTTCTGCTATATCATATGTATTTGGCCTGGTTCTCTTCAGACAAACACCAGCTCCTGCTTCCACCACCACTATGCTTCGTTGCCATTTTTCTCTTGACAACCATAATTACAGCCAAGGGTTATACAGTATCTATAATATGCTGTAAATTTAAAGCTAACCAAGTTGCCACCTAAACTAACTTAAGATCCTCATTTCAGATAAATATTATGATAAATATTAACTGTCTCAACTCATAAAAACAATGTTCAAATCAACGGTAAGCCCACATTTCAAATTTTGATCCAATAGAAAACACAGATGTGTTAGTTTTATACCATATGCAAACCATAAGCAGCTCTAATTCTTAACCAAAATCAAGGCTACTTAAAAAATAGAGGGGAGATTCATGTCAGAACAGAAAGGAAAGGGAGACATAAAACCCACTGACCTGACTCTATGTCTCCATCTTAGCATTATAACATGCTAGTGGAATATTTCATCTAACCAGATACACTGACAAGATACATTTACATACCAGACTTAATTGTATTACTGAACTAACTTATTTTCTGAGTTTCCACAATATACTGTATTATATTCTAAACAAACGGTCCCGGGGAGGGGGGAAGAAGGAGTTGGGGAATCCAATGTTCATTCACATGTAGATGAATACCAGACAGCAAGTTCATGATATATTGGGCACATATATATGTGGAAATAAAGCATAGCTGATTTCTTTGTAATGTTTTAGTACATTTTCTCTTTATATTCACGCCATCTGAACGTGAAAGGAAGAAGGGATGGCAAGAATTATGGAGAATGGTGAGTTATTTCTTAGTCAGAGAAAAGAAAAAAGACAAAGGAGGAATGGGAGGGGTGCTCCATGGTGGTTGAAGGAGAGCAGTCTTCCTAATTCTGTTCCTTCTTTGTTTTTATTGCCATGAATTGGACTATGTTGATACAGAAAGCAACAAAACTGGTGAAACACTCACAGTTGTACTTTCAAAAACAGGTTATTTCAATCTTCCAATTGTCTCCAATGGGACACTATAACTTGTGTATTGTGAAAATCCTACAAAGTCCATTAGAAAATCCTTCTAATGAAGGGTCCCAGGGCATCTTGTAAGACATGTGCTAAGGGTGCTACTTAGGCCATTTTTGTATGGATATGCAATGCAATTCTTCCAATGTACATGCATAAGACTGCAGGCCAAGAGTCTGTTTTAAATATGGGTCATTGTTCCACAGTCATGCCTCATCTCAAAGATTGGCAATGATGAGCAGCCATTTTTTAGGGGGGATAGTTGGCCACCACATATTTTCTCAAAGAGGCCTGTCTATGTTTTCTTGAAAACAATATGAAAACCATTGCAGCATTCCAGATTTTCTCAGTTCCTATGGGCTAGGTAGAGATTATGGGAACTGAAGTCAATATACTTTGAAAAAAACTAGACTATCCAAAAAAAATTAGACTTCCACAATCAACAAAATATTTGGTGATCTCTCATAATGGTACAGATAAGCCAAAACCTATAAATACTATGCTATAACTAAGACTAAAAAGGGATCCTATGGAAGTCACAAGTTGTATGTATATGTTGCTTTAAACCACACAAGAAAGATAGTAGGAATATAATCACTGAACAGAATTACCTCTACAGATATTGCTTCTTAATTTCACATCTGGGCTAAATTAAAACAGCGTGAGGCCTTGCAAACTGACTATTAATTAGCATGCCTTCCCAGTAATTAAACCAACTAATTCAAAGGGAAAAAAATACTGTAAAAGCAGGAAAGAACTCTCTTGCCAGAATTAAATGCCATGGCAGAAACTCAAATTATGAGCTTTATATACTCAGCTTTGGTACCTGGGAAGCATCCTGAGGGAACACTGCATCAAAAGCAAACATCTTTGGGACAGCCACAGCTCCTCTTCGGTGACTTGCATTAGAGCCACTTGTAGATGGGTCATAAAGTGTGATCTGCTTTTTTCGTGAATCTACCTTCAGAAATGACATAGATTCCGATGTGTCGTGTGTTCCTTCTGACGGGCAAATTCTCACCATCACCTTCACCTAAAAATCATTTAAAATATAGATTTTAGTCTAGTTACAAGTAAATAATAACACTGTATCTCAAATCCTTGGTTTACAGTGCCTATACAGATCTGAATGAGACCATGAGTCTATCTAGCTAACTACTAAACTGTATATAGTAGCTGACAGAGGATTTCATATAAGAATCTTTCTGAGTTCTTTCTGATTTTGACCTTTCATATGCACAGCATGTCTTCCTCCACTGAGTTACAGCCTATGTCTTAAGCTTGAATTAATTAGCCTGCCAAAAAAATATATTATTGGTCATATAATTTCAAACACAAGGTTTTCCCACAAAATCTTTGCATATTCTACCACTTGCATCAGTGTAGGTATTTATTACAGTGAGCTTCCACACATCATGTTCAGAACATTATACAATAATGTACAAAGCAGAAATAAAAAAGGCAAAAGTAGGTAGCCTTGTGCATTCATGTTTTACTCAGTCTAAAACATATGGAGGAATTTGCTATTACAAGTATATAATGACAGCTGCTGTCTTCAATGGATGTAAAGAGGGAAAAGACAAATTCATGAAAGATAGTTCTACCAGTGGTAATGAATCACAAGAGCTAAATGCGACCTCCATGTTCAAGGCAGTATATCAATAAATATTAATTACACTGCAGTGCCAGCATTATGTAATGTTTAACACACAGGATTTGGGTGAGAAAAACTCAGATTCAAACTCTACTCAATTACAGAGCTGGAGAGATTTTCTCTCAGTCAGAGACAGAATCCTTCTCCCTGTTCCAATTTACTTTTTGGACTCTTCAGATAAAAATAATATATATGCACAAATACTGCATACCTATATTTTCTATCCAAAAATATGCTGAATTAACTGAAACATGTTGAAGATAGAAATAGATTTCTAAAAAAGAGCACCAGTTCAGAGTGCCTTGCCATCTCTAAATATATTTATCTGTCCTATGAAATATTTCCCAAAGTACAGATCTGAACATTATTTTTATGGAAAACATCAATGTTAATTATCTTCTGAAATCCTCTTGGCTAAAAACACTTACTACCACAAATACAATATTCATCAAATATATTAGCTTTGGGAAGTCACTATCTTTTTTTTCGCATTTAGGTTTCTTCCCTGTTCCATCTCCCCCATCATCTAAATGTGATATGAATATGGCATGACAGTCCTAGAAAATAACTGAACCTTAAAATAAAATAAGCAATTGCTTCAAAGTGAAAGTAAGTATTGTAGGTGACACATTCAAGACTAGTTTCCAATAAAAGCTGCATGAAGCTACTACCAGTGTATGTTAGAGAGGTTCCTTCGACCTTGAGAATGTTGCCAAGGGGCCAAGTAAGTATCATTTTCTGTAAATAAATATACAAAGAGGATATCAATTCAAAAAATGCACTGAAGTATAAGGAACTATAACTATGAATATTCTGTTTATATTTGATAGGTGGCATTTATCAATGCTACACCAATGCTCACTTCAGTCATCATGATTTTACCCTGACTTAGGAGAATGTTAGATAAAAACAGCAGAACAAACTGATCTTCTAATACAACTAAGTTTATAAAATACAGTGAACCAAAACTGACTTTCTCAACAACTAGAATCTAACGAATTATCTCAATCAGGCATGGTCTTCAGTTATGCTACATGAAAAAATGTCACACTCATAGCATTTATATCCCTTGGTTTATCTAGGAAACAAGAAAAGACTATTCCAGCCCAATTAAATGTTTCTGAGACATATTGGCAGGGTTGAAAAATACAATATCCAAAAGAGCAAAATGGAGAAATGGAAAGAAAACAAGAACCATATCCTGACTGCAAAATTTGAATCAGGACCTGACAGGAATTGGCCACAGAAATAAGTAGGATATGCCAATCCCTCTGATTATACAGTGAGAAAAAAACATTGCTTTATCACAATTCTAACTGTTCATATCTAAGAACTGGAATTTGAAAGGACAATTTGCAAGCCTCCCCACCTCCTTTTTTAAAGAAACTGATCAGTACAAGAAATACTTTCCACCCTGCTGCTCTTAAACATGGATGCAAATAGAAATAATAGTAAATCTCTTCCATTCAAACTTCATGGGCTGGGGAACATATACTTTTGCATAAATATATAATATCAAGCATAATTCCCAATTTTTTGTATGCCTGTGTATGTACACCTATGTGTGAGAAAGGGAGAGTGATTGAGTGATTGAGTCTGATGTTCAATACAGCAAACAGATTAACAGTAAATATTGTAAAACGTTCTAGCCCTGCTTTAGATAGAAGAACAATTTCTCCTATATTTATGTGAGCAGTTAGCCACCTATATATTACAACCCAAAGATTAAGACATATTCTTCGCTCCAAATCCTATCAGTTCTCTGTTGTATCACAAACAAGAACCAGAAAGAAGAAAGGAAATGCCCTCAAAATAGCATGTTCCATGTGATTGTGGATCAAATACATGGCATCTCTCTTTCCTTTAATTACCTATCCCACATCTGGAGGGAGATGTGAGGCCATCATTAGATGGGGTGTTTAAACTAGGTAACCCTGAAAGGAGGAGGAGGAGGCCAGAGATCAAAGGGAGATCTCAAAAAAAAAATTCTTTAAACCCCACAGGCCAATAACTAGATACTGATGAAAACCCTGCAATCACTATTCATTGCTTTAGGGATGAAGGTGCTTCCCTGAAGGTCACAATCCACTCAATCAACAACAGCAAGAGAGAGAAAAAACTCAGGCTGGTTATTGCCATGCACTTACGTGAAGCAAAGAAAATAAAAGCTATAGATGCAAAAGCAATGGCACAAAACTAGCAATTTCAAGGAAGAAAAAGAAGATGCGTAAGACATTAATTTACGTAATTCACTGCAAGCCAATATTTCTCCCACAGCGATGCAATCTCATTTGTGCACACTGAAAGCTACACAAATTTCAAAATATGAATACACCAGACCTGAGATGTATTCATTTTTGTCCATTTAATTATTTATAATTAATAAATCTTAATTATAGTAAGATTAGTTTTGTATTTCTCCATTTAGTGGCAATGAATGACCTCATTTTAAGAGAAAAGCACTGCAGATTCTCTACAAAAATTCTCAGATATGTCTTAAGAAACTTAGAATTTGTACATCTCTTGCACAAAGTTGATCTAGTCATGCAGATAAAGATACAAAGTTCCTGCTATGCATCGTTTCACACCAGATGTGTGAGCATACATGATTTGAATATAAAAAAATCTTCTATTTAACTAGGAATTATCAGTATCTTCTTTGAACTTACCTCTGCCACTATAACATCTGACCAAGCTTAGGAGATTTCAAGAAAAAAAATATACAGGTATAAATATCTATTTTCTCATCCATCTTTTGTTCCATAGTGGTTAATCAGCATTTAAGTGAAAGGATCATAAAAGAGGAGCTGCTGTTGAGAGCCTGCTTCTTTAAAATCATTGTTTTAGTAGATGAGAAGCTATGTTTCAAATACACTATGGATTCATTTGTCCTAGCAAATGAATCCATTGCAATATAGGAAACCCCTACCCCCAATGAGGAATATCACACTGAAACTGGATGACTATGCAATGACAACAGAGATGGATCTGACTATGAACAAATTCACTATACTCCCACTACCTCTCTGACTGAGGAATAGCAATAGCATTTGGACTTACACTATACTGCCCCATAGCACTTTACAGCACTCTCTAGGCCACGGGTGTCCAACTCGCCACATCACGTGACATGTTGTGACGTATTGCGACTCTTTTTGCATTGCTGGCAATGGGGTGGGCGCGGCTTCGGTATGATGAAACCGGCCCACCGGCTGGCAGTTTGACACCCCTGGTCTAGGCGGTTTACTATGTATTTTCATAATGCCCCCAACAATCTGGCTCCTCAATTTACCAACCTCGGAAGGATGGAAGGCTGAGTCAATCTTGAGCCAGTCAGGATCGAACTCCAGGCTGTGGGCAAAGTTTGCCTGCAATATTATACTTTTAACCACTGTGCCACCAAGGCTCTGAGAAAGATTAAGGGGACCCCTCAGCTTCAGAAAATGAATCGATAAAACAAGACAGATTTGATTTGTGAAAGCAAAATTCATGATGTCCTACTATAGGTTCCCTATAGTCTTGTACACTTTCCTGAAATTTGGCAGAAGCATAAGACTCCGAACACTGCTGACTAATTGGCTCCCAGGGCCCCTGGAAATATTAAAGTCATTCCTTGAAACATTACCAGATAGTCAGAACAAGCTTGTGGATACCCACTTTAAACAATACTTGGAAAAAATTGAGATTATTTTCCTACAGAAGATACGGTACCAGAATATTTCCCCCTCTCTTTTTTTTAGGTTTTTCCTCCACCAATGAAATTGGATTTTCATGAAAGAACAAGTGAATAATATCAACTTTTATTTCGGGTGACTTTAAGGGAACTATACAGAAGAGGGATTGATCTGATAACAATCACATCCAGATAATCCAGTTAGATAAATAAATCCTTTGGGCCAACTCTTTGTATTGATATTTATTTCTCTGTTGGCAAGTTTAAACATGCAGTTTAAGATTTGGTCCTCTCTGCAAATGGTTTTGAAAAGAGCTGCCAATTGCTGACAAATGCAGATATTTTACTGACTGGAGACTTTAACACCAGAATTAATAAAGATATTAACAATTACATCAGGAAGACATAGGAAAGCCCAGAAGATGAGTATTATCTGCCTTGGTTCTCCATGGACAAAGTGCTAAACAAACAAGAGGTTGCTTTATTCAATTGGTTTTTTAAATTTGGGTTCTATAATCCTCAGGATACCAAACCAGCATTATTCAATAAAGGAGAATATTTGAGGCTCATAGCAGACAAAAAGCTCTAATGAAGGTCTTACAAAAATGCACTGAACTTATCGTGATGACAGAGAAGGACAGGTCTACCTCCCAAATATATGCTGAGAACAGCATCAGCATATACAATGAGGACCATCCAGATATTT